AAAATGAGAAACTACATAGGATTTTACCTTTTAAAGAAAAACAACAACTATTGTAGTAAGATCCATATAGGGGAGGGATGGGAGCTGCACACAAATTGTTAGTTTATAGTTATAGCTTATAGTTACTTTTCAAAAATATCACTAGTAACCACTGTACCTGTGTTGGGAGAGCAGTGTATCATTACCCATACTGAAGTTCGTACATTGTAACTATACTTTTCCAAGCTTTCCTGAAGAAAATGCTACTGTTTTAAAAGTTGTCACTGAGCATATTCTACATAAAATTATATTAAATAAAGGAAGAAGCCACTCGGATTTAAAAAAAAAAAATGGTACTTAAAAAAATAATTTCAGGGTGGGTGAACTAGCTCAGCATTAAGAGCACTTGTTGCTCTTGCAAAGGACACAGGCTCAATTCCCAGCAACCACATGAGGGTTTACAACCACTGGTAACTCCAATTCCAGGGCATAAGACTAAAATATCCTCATATGACCAATGTACCCAACTTTAGCCCTAAGTGCTAACATTAGATTGTTCCACGGCTGTGCTCTCAGGGATGATTTTTATGTAGTAGTAGTATTTCTAGCAGCTCATTACTGGATCTGGTGTGTAATTTAGTGTTACACAGACTCTCTCTGTACAGAAAGGTTTTCCCAAAAAAACTGCCAAGGCAAGCAGCCTATTAAATGTTAAACTTCACAGAAGTAAGTCAGATACTTAATTGCATAAGTAACTAAAATTTTCTTTACATAACAGTTCTAATCAATTCACACTTGAGTGAAAATAACCTTATATTGCAAACAGCACAGCACCCTCTGGTGTATCTATTATAAGATATATAAAATTTCTAGAAATAAAAGGATAAAATCTTAAAAATCTCAGAATATAATCTAAGAAATCAATAGGGTGATATTTTCTGAATTTATTCTGGTACATATATTTTACATGTTACAAAAACAAGCTTCATTTTAAAATATTACTATAGCAACTATGAAAATTTGTTTTAGTTTAGTTTTAAAATACTGAAACAAACAAAATAATACATTTTTCCAGTATGTGACTTAAATTAAGATAATGCTATAAATAGAATTCTTGAGGTATGTAATGACAAATTTTACTGGTTATGTAAGCTAAATTTCATTTTATTCAAACCCACCTGTTTTTCTGACTTGAATATATCAACTGCTGCTCTACAGTCTTTCTGAATTCAAAGACAGCTTATCATTATTTATGGAATAGATATATAGGTTTTTAGTAAATGTATCTATAATTTTTACAGTTTGGTAATACACCGATATTCACAAACAAAAACTAACGAGTTTGGTCACAAATCTGGAGCACTTCAGAGACAAGTAATGCTCAATGTCTACCTGAAAGAAGAACCTTCTTTGTGAAAATAACTAAAAGATGACACAACTAACTCAACATGATGCCACCTGCTTTAGACAGCTCTTTGTGAACCACTACAAGTTCCAAAACAATACAGGAAAAAGTGAGACTGACACCTGTTTAAAGCATCCATCTGTCTCTATCAAGCTAAATTTACTCAAATCCATTTAATCTTGGTTTTCCAAAATAAGGGAACACTATGCACCTGTGAACAGAAAAGAACTTAAAAATCTATTTTGTGATGACAACTGGGAATATATACCAAGAGTTACAGAGTTAGAGCAAATCCTCAGTAAGGGAAACTATTTTTAACGTAATTACAAGTGAATAAAGGATATTGAGCCAAATGCTCAGCATAGAAACAAATTAGCAAACTTCATAATTTAAAAGTTGATTTATTTCTTATTCCCATTTCTTGTAATAAATTCTCACTAGGAGGATCACAAAGCACTGCTACTAGACTATTCAACTAGACTATTCAGGAAAAAAAAAATAACTCTTCCCACATATCTGATACTATTATTCATCCTTCTAAGTGTGTGTCCTGAAATTTTTTACTGTTCAATTGTTAAAGAAAAGGTGCCTCAATTAACTTGAGTTTTTTTTTAAGATTGTTTGATTAAAGTTAAAAATGCTCTCACCATCCCACTTATAAACCATAAACCATGTATCTCTACAGAATACAGATTGTTTAAATATTGGATAAAGAATACAGTATTTTAGAAAATAGGGATAAGTATCTCATGCCACAAAAGCACTGTGAAATGATGGAAAGCTTCTGCGAGCGCATTAATTTCTTATACACATATAAATTTACTATGCCTAGTCCCTATACAGTTTAATAGAGTTGCATAATAGACAGGGTGTAATTCAAAAAGACTAAGATAAATATCATGCCACACTCTGAATCACAAATATCCAGCTGCTCAAAACATTACTATTGAATATGTTTATTTTCAAAGCCAATCACTTTCACAGATAACTGTTAGTCTAAAAAAATGAAAACAAAGAATGAGAATGCATAGTGCATCCCCTCCTAGGAAAAACAGTATAGGAAAAAAAACTGAACTAAATGGCATTTAATGTTATATTTAATTTTAAAGATCAACTGTTATCATTGTAAGTTAATCAATCCATAAAACTAATTTTATCATCTCAGAAGCCAAAGCATCACTAATATCAACTCTCAGAACACAAAGATTTATTTGAAATAGACAGGCTATTTAATATAATGCAATACAGTGTTTGTTCTCAAACAACTTGTGAATGAAAAAAAATCAAACAAACAAAATTTGCTGTAACCTGACATGGCATGATGAGTGAAATGTCTCTGAAACATTCCTGGACACTGCAAATACAAATATTAATCACAGACATTTCAGCATCTACAATCTATTCAGCCGAAACTTATGTAAATATCATAAGATCTAAAACTGTCCCAAGACAGCAAAACTCCTTTTAACTTCAGACCCAGTAGCTTCACCATCCAAAAGTGTTCAGGCATTTGACACTCATCTGAACAGGAAAACAAAAAAAAAAAAAAAAAAAAAAAAAGAAGAAAAAGAAAAGAAGCAAAAGAAAGAAAAGAAAAAAAATGCAAGTTAGTATTTGAGATGTGTATTGAAGACATGTTGGGGAAGGGATGAATTCTAAAGAATTCTAGAAAGAAGTCTGAGAGAGTCAAACATATTTCTTTCAGAATCAAATATCACCTTCATTTAAAATAACAATCATATGGAAATGAATTGAAAAGTAGGGTTTTTTCAATCCTCCAACTCTTATTTTACAAAATATTAGCCTTAATGACATTATAATTATCCAAACTCTTCATTGACAATCTCAAGAGTAATTAATACTGTCACATTATTCACAGGCTGCTCTGTCAGTTAAATCAATAAATGTTTGCTGTTGGAAAGATTATTTAAATAAGCACTCTAAAAACCTAAACTGGAAATTTCAATGTGCCATTAAAATAGTACATTTTATTTGGTTTAGCTCAAAGTCATTATCAATTTATTTTCTGATAACCTATTAATTATTAGTCTGAAAATTAGCAAAATTAAAGAATCTGTGAAACCAAGTTAGCTCTAATCAAGAAAATATTACTTGAGAACTGGCAAGTATTCAAATCTACAAGGGGCAACTATTTTCTCTTAAAAAAAAAAAAACTTAAAAAGGATTTTTTTTTTCTTCTGAGCAGGTTCAAATCATTGTCCAAAGAAAACCAAAAAGTCAACAAAAAGAATATTTTAAGTACACACATGCCTAGATCTTAACGGCCACAAAGAAAGTGAAATATACACACGTTTCAAGTTGAGAAGCTTCATACATTCTTTATGAACAACTTGACTTCAATTTCAACTCTCCAAGGGAAAGCAACAGAGATGAAGATGGGAGGAAAAAAAAAAAAAAACTCTCAAAGTACCATAACTGTCACAAACAGCGTTGTGAACTGAGTTCTCACAAAGCTTCCTTGTGTCCTTTTCCTGTTCATCACAGACAAAGTCTCAAAACCACAATGAAAATTGTTAACACTCTCCTGTGGGGAGGGAGGTGCATCAAAGTGAAACAGAACCTCAGGACTACCCCTCCCATCTCCACATGAAGGATAAAGCGCTGTCAGTAACCACTAACCCAAGTAGCACAGATGCCCTGCATCCGGTTTAAATCACAAGCACACACGCGCACACGCACATGCACACACACACACACACACACACACGCCGAAAAGGGGAGGGGGAGAGAAAGAGAGGAGAGGGAGACGAGAGACGACAGACAAGAGAGAGGGAAGAGGAAAGGAAAGAGAAAGACTTAAAAAAAAAAAAATCTCTCAGAGCAGCAGAGGCCCCCCTGGTTTCGATGTGTGTGCAGAGGGGGGCGTTGTGGGGGGGAGGAAGACTGCTGAATGGATATTAAGATTGTTTGCAGCACAAAGAAAAAAAAAATACAGTTTTAAAAGAAAAAGAGAATCCCGCGAGGCCAGTGATGGTCAAGTAAGTGCAGCCCGTTCAGCAGCGGGCACCGAGGGGCCGAAACGAAGGGAGCGGGCTTCGGGAAAAGTTCACCGAGGTACGAGGACAAAAATAACAAAACCCCCCCGACAAGGCCCCGCAAGTGAACAACAGCAGCGGCGGCACGGCACCTTTCGGGGACCCCCCTGCTCACTGCTGTCTATTTCCACTTGGAAAGCGGCGGCCACCAGGCAGCTCTGCAAAGCAGGCGAATTAAAGAAAGAGAGAGAGAGAGAGAGGGAGAAAGCGAGCCCCTTCTCTCCACCTGCCCCTCCTCCTGGGCGCCCGCAGACCTGGGGGGGACGCTCCGACCCCCGCGACGACGGACAGCGGCGGCTGCCGAGCCCGCTCGCCCCGCAGCCCCGACTCCCGCTCCATCCCCGGGCGCCCAGGCCGGGCGGGCGGGCGCGCGGCGCCCACACCCCCGAGCCCGCCGCGCGCGGGTCCATTGTAAACAAGCCCCGGGGACCGAGCCCCTCAAGCGGCCACAGCCGGTGTCAGGAGGGAGACCCCGCACAGCCACGCTCGCTCGCACACACGAACACACGCACGGACACGCACACGCTCCCACACACATGTAGAGACCGAAGAATATTCACCTTGGCTGTGGATTATTGTGGTGTTGTTGGTGGGTGATGGAGATGGTGGTGGTGGGGAGGAGGAGGAGGAAGAGGAGGAGGAGGAGGAGAGGAGTAGTTGTTGTTGATGGGTAACAGTCGCCAGGACTACGGTGACTATGGCGCTTGATTCACAAGGCAACGGTTGCTATAACTCACAAAAGAGAGAGAGAGGGAGAGAGAGAGGGAGCGAGGGAGAGGGAGACACTCGCGCGGGGAGGGGCGGGGGAGGGAGGAGGAGAGAGGGCGGGCCCGAGAGCGCCGGAAGGAGCGGGCTCGGCGCCGTGACTGACAGCTCGGCGCCCGGGCGGGGGCCGCGCTCGGGATGCCGACGTCGGGTCCCCGAGGTGCGCTTAGACTCGGCGGGCCCGGGGTCAGTGCGCGTCCGCCTCGAGGAGCGCCACGGCGGACGCCGGGACGCCGGGGGAGCCGAGGGTCTGGAGGCGAGAGGGCTGCTTCCCGTGAAGGCAGCCCCGCCCGCCTCGGCGGCCAGCTCAGCGCCCAGAAGCCCCGCAGCCCCGAGAGGAAAGCCGCGAAGCCAGGGGAGGGGGAGTGACGAGGGCCCCAACACCGTGCGAGACGCGCGCTGCTGCGGGGGCAGACCCCGCTTTGAGGCGCGGGCCCCGCCCACGGGGACGTCATTTCCGGGGCGGGCCTGGTGGTGTCCCGGATGTGCTGCGCTCCGCCCCTCTCGTCCTCCCCCCACCCCAAGCTTTTTTTTTTTTTTTTTTTCTCCTCTCTCTCCATCCTCGCTGGTGGTGTTCCCCGGTCGTTTGTGCCTAGCGGGTGATCCCTTTCCCGGACGCTCTGCGGCCGGCGGGCGCGGGCCTCCCGGGCCCCGGCCGCGCGCGCTCTCCCCTCTGTGCGCTCGCTGGCTCTCTCGCGGCTCGGGGAGCGCGGGCGGCGGGGCGTGAGCGGTGCCTTCGCCGCCATCTTAGGGGGCGAGAGCCCGGGCTCGCGAACCGTGACCCATCCGCCCGCCCGACGCGGGGGACACCTCCCTGCGGAGCCGAGGGCCGAAGTTCTCACCTGCCGGACCGGGAGGAAGTGCTAACGGGACGGGATTTGTGCTTCCCGGGGACGGGGCCGTCCCTGGGTGGGCTCAGACCTTCGGGAGAAGCCCGGGGTAGTCCTGAAGGTGCTCTGCCCCCTAAGAGTGGACGGGATGGAGTCGAGCTAGACCCCCTGCCCTGCTGTTGCTGGCATCGGCTTCCTAGCAGTTTAGGGAGCTAGTTCCTGAGCTAGCTACCGTTTTTTGCTCTTTGAGACAGGAATGGCTTCCGTCCGTGAAGAACATTATTAGCACCCAACCTGGCACCTCAAACTCCGCTTGATAAGGCACAGCTTCTCATACTTCATGGTTCAAGCATATTCGTCCAGTTCTGCTCACACTGGAGTCCAGCAGGCACGTGCCCCCGGGCTCGCCAAGACCCAAAATCTCCAACATTTGTGGCTAAGCAGCTTATCCAAGACAATAACGTACTGGAAGTAGAGCCTTAAGAAGTCAGTTCTCCTCTTGAGGCTTAATTTTCGCACCTGCAAATAAGGGATTTGGGCCGGCATGAGTTCACTGTTAAAATAAGACTGAGCTCTTTTCTGTGCCCCAGACCTTGTGCTAAGTGTTTTACATACATTATCTCATTTAATCCTGACACCTGTTCTATTGGATACATAATATTCTCGTTTTAGGGAAAACAAGCAGTCATTTTATCTTGCCTCTCTGTGTCTTGAAATACTTGGTAAAGACAGTTTAGGGACTAGCTATTAGAACAATAGGTTTAAGAGTAATACTGTAAGCTTTGATAATTTAATAGTTATATATAGTGTTGCTTATAAGTTACAATAGAGTAGTTGACGGTGAAAACAAGCACAGGGCTAAAGTTAAAACAGGTCAAGATCCACCGTGGCAGTGGACAAAAATGACACCGGGGTAACCAACAGCAGTTAAAACTCTTCAAATTTAGAATACTCCTTTTGCGACATTTACAGATCCAATCCTCTGCTTTGACGTCGTCGGCTAGGGCCACAGAATGACATTACAAGGCACTGAACAGCTTTGCTGTTGCAGCCTTATTGTCTGTCAGTTTGCCGGGCTCCCCACTCTCAGCTGTTGCTTCTTCCTGCTGTCAGTGAGCATAGTTCTATTATCCTCCCCACCCTTTTAATTTACTGCTTTTAATCTGCACGAAAGGAAACCGCATAATGAAGCTTGTGCAAAACTGTCTCAAGGGTATAAATAGATACTTTGAGGCAGTGTCCTTTAGGAAAAGTGTGACCTTTGCGCTTAGAACATTGAAGCAGGAGTTTCAAGCAATTTAGAGACTTCTTTATTCCTAGCTTCTAGTACCATCTTTTTAAACTCGCAGAATGCATACCTTCATTTATAGGAATTCTTATAAACTTAGGATATTTTTCCTTTTATGGTATGTCTTCTAATTGTACTAGAGTTAAAATACAAATTTCGGTGTTACCATTATACTAATTCAAAAAAACCAAGCTACAATGCCAGCTACAGATTTCAACATAATAGATTATATGTGTTTGTTATAGACATATATATATATATATAACATATTAAATCCTTTTGGTGGTCAATAGTTCTGACAGGAACTCTTTCAGCTCATTTCTGAAGCTGTGTGGTTAGATCGTCACGTGTATTCTGTAGTTCAGAATTAACTTGTTAGGGAATCTTAGGAAAGACACAGCAGGGTCTTAGCAGCTTTTACTCTTTACAATGAAGAAATATAATCTGAGCCCAAGAAAGGTATCATCTTCCATTCCTTGACAATTCAATAAACTGTCAATGCAACTTTTTTTTGTGTTGAATTCCAAAAATGAGGCAGATATAGTTCTTGTCTGTGCAGCGCTCTGTTTTTCTGTGAATTTTAAATGTTCCCTTTGACCTTTGTTTCCACTCTAAGGCTGTAGTGATTGGGAGAGACGTGGGTAAACACATTTGTGACCAAACCACTTAAATAAAAGAAGTTCTGATTATGTATATACTGTACAAATTGCTATAGCATATCCTTGAGGGTAAATTTCCTTTTCAACATCTGTTAGGATATTTCCTCCTATGAACACCTACTGCATATTCAAGCACTAATAAAAAAATTTCACTATCAATGCTTTTTAAAAAAAGAAAAATGTGTATACAAAGATAAAATACTGGTATGCCATGGCAGTGCTTCAAAAAAAAAATATGTGGAGAGCTTTGAAAATGTATGCTATAGCAGCTTACCATTAAATTAGTGGTGAGTGCTTATAAAACAGGAATCACACCTGTGTTAAAATCTTCCATTTGACTAGCCGTTTTCTTCAGTTGCAATGCACAATAGACTCTTGTTCCCATATGTGAAATGAAGGTTTCCTTTCTGCTAGTTTGTATAAGTGTTTATGATGTGCAAACTACTGGTGAGTCGAGATTACTGAGGGACTTTTGTAGATCTGAAACTGTGGCTATGTGACAAGAGAGTGGTGTCAAAGTGATTCTAACATTGCACAGGAGCTGCCATTCCTTCCCCAGCACCAAGGCAAACAAAATGTATGCTTACTTTCTAACTATCCTCTGGAGCACCCAACAGAAAGCAGGCTTTGATTTGAAAGCAGTGTGGGAACTGTTTTGGTGAATTTGTCTTTCTAATTGTGTTTTCATTAAGCACTACAAATCAGCTGATTATTCTGAAGCCTGTCTAGTCTTGTATAAGTATAACTTGAAATTAGACTTTCACCCCAGTGCATAAAGATGACAGTAGAATTGTAAATTGACTGCCATTGCTCAAGACCAAAGTAAAAATTTATATATGCACAGAGCTCTTCAATTAATTCAGAACATCAAGTACAGTATTTGCGCCATTAAACCCAAATATCTGAAAACAATCCAAATGTCAGATGTCTATCGGCTAAAGGATGCGTAAACAAATTGTGATACAGTCACATGTTGTAATGCAAACGAACAGTTGAAAAGATTGTTCATTGAGGATCATTGTGGTCAACAAAAGAGGCCAACCGCAAATGTGGGAATCCACTTACATGAAAGCTGGTGTTTTCCTATGATGGCAGTGGCAACAGAGTGGGGTCTACCAGGGTGAGACAGGAATGTCCCACACTCTCCGGGTTGTTGGCCACTCGTCACGTGCTGCTGAAATTTCACTATTAATTCATGTAAAAGGCATACAGCCATATGTTAAGTTCTTGGTATCTACATGTGTCAGTGGCAACTAAACTGGACAGCACACACACAAAGAACATTTGTGTTTCAAAATGTCTGAGAATTTCTAAACATTCTGAAGAATGCTGTTCCTTTCCTCTTTTAAACCAATTTTATAGAGACATTTATTTGTCTAAATTGTGACTAATGAAAATATGTCTATTTTATGTGCCCCCAATCCCAAAAAAAATCACTCATTAGCCAAATTGTTAACACATTACCAAGACTTTAATAAACTAATCTGATAATTTGATTAGCCTATATTTTTTCTTCATTTTTCATTTACTCGAGAGAAAGAATAAGGAAATTATCCACGACGCTTCTTTTTTTTCTTTATTAATTACACTTTACTCACTTTGTATCCCCCCTCCCCCGTGACCATGACGCTTCTTAAAGGATGTAGTAAGCCACGAAGTAAATGATGTTGATTTGGTGCTCAATGGAAAAAATTCTGGCACTTTCAAATCCTCAGTATCTTGAGGAAAAAGAAAACACTTTTGAGGACTCAAAGTGCACTCCAGAATACTTCAAAGAAATTTTTCCTACTGCCCTCTTGGAGCATTGGTACATGGAAAGGTGATAAACACTGCAAAACCTTGTGAAGTAACACTTCAGAGAACTTGGGAGTCTCAGGTACTCTGAGTACACTGTAAAGTCCAGTAAACTCTCTGTATCACTCTTCAGTTTCAAAGGGACCAGCAGAATGGTTCAGGGGCTAAAAGCACTTCCTGCCAATCCTGGCGACTTGAGTTTGATCCCCAGAGCCCACAGGAGGAGAAATGAAACCAACTGCCACAAACTGTTCTTGGACACAGGCTGTGGCACACGTGTCCCACCCCCCGGCCCCACTCCCCCAGGCGTCCCCCAAGCTGACACACACACACACACACACACACATACA